GGAAAGAGGGAAGGGGATGGGGGAGAAAGAAAAAAAATTGAGGGGAGGAAGAAAAAAGAGTCAGTGAGTAGATAAACTTCAGAAGGATAGCTTAGTTTGTCTGTAACAGGAAAAACTTAAAAACAAATAGTCTAGTAGCACCTTAAAGACTAAATAGTTACAAAAGGCTGATAACCATTAGTTTGCACTTGGAAAGAAAGGGAAAGAGGGAAGGGGATGGGGGAGAAAGAAAAAAAATTGAGGGGAGGAAGAAAAAAGAGTCAGTGAGTAGATAAACTTCAGAAGGATAGCTTAGTTTGTCTGTAACAGGAAAAACTTAAAAACAAATAGTCTAGTAGCACCTTAAAGACTAAATAGTTACAAAAGGCTGATAACCATTAGTTTGCACTTGGAAAGAAAGATGACCAACATCAGATTCTACACAGACATCAAGAACCATTAGCACCTTCGTTGTTTGTTTAATTGATTAAGTCATTAAGATATGGAAGATAATGTGTGGGCCATCCAATATCTGGGTTCATACCATTTGCATAAGAATTCAACTTGTAAATGAAGTTAAGTTCCAACCCTTCTCTGTCTATCTGGCCTGTGGAATTGGTCTAAAACAAAATGTCAACTTGGAGATCCATTAATGAGTGTCCAGGAAGATTAAAGTGTTCTCCAACAGGTTTTTGTGTATTGCCTTTTCAGATATCTGATTTGTGTTCATTAATTCTTTCCCGTAGAGACTGTCCAATTTGGTCAATATACATTGCAGTGGGGCATTGCTAGCATTTGATTGCATAGATCACATTAGTGGATGTGCAGTTAAATGAGTGTCTGATTTGATGGCTGATGTGGTTGGGTCCAGTGATTAAATCACTTGTGTAGAGGTGTAGACAGAACTGGCACTGGGGAAGATTGCAGGGATGGTGGATTCCTGGATGATTATGATGGAAGTGAGTTGCATGGTTATTAGAAAGAATTTGTTTGAGGTTAGGTGGTTGTTTGTAAGCGAGTATTGGCCTTTCCCCCAGGGCCTCAGAATGAGGGGTCATTTTCCAAGCTAGGCTGTAGATTTTGGATAATGCGTTGGAGGGCTTTAAGTTGAGAACTTTAGGTGATGACAAGTGGAATTCTGTTATCTCTTTTGAGTTATGTCTTGAAGTAGTTTATGTCTAGGTACTTTTTTGGTGCTCTCTGTTTTTTCCACTTCTTCAGGTAGGTATTTCAGTTTTAAGAATGCTCTATATAGATCCTGTAGGTGTTTGTGTCTGTTTGTGGGATTGGAGCAAATCGGGTTGTATCTCAGGGCTTGGCTGTATACAATAGATTGAGAAATGTGTCTGGGATGGAAGCTAGAGGCAGGAAGGTAAGTGCAGTGGTCGGTAGGTTTCTAGTATAGGGTAGTGGAAATTTGTCCATCATTTGATGAGTAAATACTGAGGAACCATCTATGGGACAATGGAAAGCACTAATGGCTGCCAAATGTACTTTCAGGGACGATAATTGAGGCTCTGATGTAGAGGTGAGACAAGCGGCTGGATGTCATTCCAAAGGCACCATTGGGAGTATCTATGCCACTTTGCAAGGTAAGTATTCCGTGTAGACGACTTTCTGCTGTGTAGCAGTATCGTTTTTGACTGTTAACAACCGAGGGTCTCTTCCCTTCTGAGCCAGTTAGCAGCCATGCCGTCAAGTGTAATGCATCCAATCTGGGATGTAGGAGAGGGTATGTCTACACTACCACCCTAGTTCGAACTAGGGTGGTTAATGTAGGCAACCGGAGTTGCAAATGAAGCCCGGGATTTGAATTTCCCGGGCTTCATTTGCATATTGCCGGGCGCCGCCATTTTTAAATGTCCGCTAGTTCGGACTCCGTGCCCGCGGCTACACGCGGCACGAACTAGGTAGTTCGGATTAGGTTTCCTATTCCAAACTACCAGTACACCTCGTTCCACCAACTGCACCAACTGTCGTAGGTCAAGGATGGGTCTCCAATCCCCCCTACCCCCCGTTTCCTTTCGCGTTAGGAAGTAAAATGAATAGAACCCTCTTCCTTTGAACTGGTCTAGGACCCTCTCTATCACCCCGATGGCAAGAAGGCGATAAGCTTCCTGTTGTAAGAGGTCCTTGTGAGATGGGTCCCTGAAGAGGGACGAGGCTGGTGGACTGGTGGGGGGAAGAGAGGTAGAGGGAATGGTGAATCCTGTTTGTACAACCTCCAATACCCATTTGTCGGACGTTATCTTGGCCCATTGGTTGTAGAAGGGCCGTAACCAATGGTGAAATATGGGGGTGGTGCCCGTGGTGTTTATGACAGCTATTGGTGTGTGCATGCCCTCGATGGAATAGTCAAACTTGTTGCTTGGAAGACGGTGGGTTGGTCACACGGGATGGTTGAGGACGCCTTCGTTGCGGTCATTGTTTAGGATGCGTTTGATCAAATGGACATTGTTGGCATCTCTGGAATTGTTAACCATACTATCTTTGATATGGGAAATATACATTCTCTCGCGGTGAGTTTGGAGCAGTGGGCACACTTTTGGGGAACATGTGACTCCCCGAGGCAGCATATACATGTGGCATGGCCATCTGAGGCCAGCAACGCTTCCCTACAAAGGGAACATTTTTTAAAACCTGGAGAACCAGGCATATTGGCCCCGGTCCAAATGGGATGCCAATTAAACAACCTACCTTAGCTAACAATAACTAAAGTAACCGCTGACAAACTCAAGGATCTTATATAAAAATTCTTTTTTTTTAAACAATATAACGAGAACAACTCTACCTACCTAAAAAAACTAAGACTAACAAATTTACAACTTTCTTTCCAGAAAATGGCCTTCTCTCTGAGGAGAAAAATGGAGCTCCGCCAGCAACCGAGGACGGTTGAGAGGTACTGGCAAGGGGCCAGAACGCGCGACATTGGAAAGGGCGCGAACGGTGCGTGGTGCTACCGCGCATGCGTGGTCCGGTCGACTACGGCTATAAAAATCCTTCGACCAGTGGCACCAGGACAAGCCTGACACCTAGAGTGGAGCATTCATGGGGACCACTCAAAGAAGAAGATACAAATTGTCTCCAAATCAGAAGTAGTTGTGGGTGAGGACCAAGTCGCAGAACTCTGTAAATCTGATTACAGCAAGAGAGTCTCTGTGGAAGATAGTGTATACCCTAGCCCTATCCTCAATACAAACCAAAAGTCATAGGAACTTCCTGAATGTTCTAGTTCTGCTCAAGAAAAAGGCCAGTTCCCTCTCAACATTAGCATATGAATGATCACTTCCTGTGTAGAATAAAGCAGCTTAAGAAAGAAAAACTGGAAAGTGAAGAGTCTGATTAATATGAAACAGAAGAAAACTCTGGTAAAAAATTTGCAGGGAGTTGTTAAAACCTTTTTCTTGGAGAACATAGTCAATGGAGAACCTGCCATTAAAGCCCCAATCTCTCTATCCCTTTGTGCAGAAATGAAGGTCATCAAAAAGACTGTCTTCATGGACAAATGTACCATAGCATATAGCTAATGGCTCAAAAAGTGGTTTCATGGGATAATGAAAAACCATGTTGAAATCCCAAAGTAGGGTCATTAATCTGTATAACCTTGTTGTGGTCAGATGTGTGAAAGCTTAGAAACTATCTACTGGTAACATGAAAGGTGTCATTAATTCTAAATTAATCTTGATGGAATTCAG